ATTTTATCCGTAGTACCATTATATCACTTCTACTGGTTTTGCATTTCCACCCAGGAGTCCCCTCTTCTGCATCTCCACTATGACCAATACAGATTTTCCTAGATTCTATGCTCGGAATTCTCCCATGTGTCAAGCTACATGTAGTTCCCTAGATCGTTCACATTTTGTTTATGCTGTTCAAGTATTGTATTCTTTCATTTAATCGCTTACTTTATTAGTTCCTCCCACAATAATTTACTTATTTATTCATGCAGTCACTTATTCAATTATTATTGCATACCTTTGTTGCAAGCAGGTGTGCAATCCACTTGTGAAAAGAGAAAAGCAAAATAAATAGTATCTTTTACTGAGTACCTAATGTATGCTAAGCAGTCTACTAACGGCTTTAAATTAATTAACTCATTTAATCCTTTTACAACTGTAAAGAGTAACAGATTATCTCTACCTAATATAAATGTTCTAGATGTATAACAAAAGGAAAAGATCTCCAATTCAATTTTAAGAAACTAGTACAAATTTCATAGCAAAACCACACAAGGATAATACAAAAAAATACAGACCAATCTCATTTATAAACATAAATGCAAAAAAAAACATCAAATTGAATCCAACATCATACTGGAAAAAAAGGTAGTTCAACTTCAGAAAATCTATCAGTGTAATTGACTATACTAAGTGAATTTATAAAGTGAAAACTCATATGACTTTCCTAATGCTAAAAATGCATTTGATAAAATTCAGTGATGATAAAAATTCTTAGCAAACCAGGGATAGTAATTTTCTTAACTAGATAAAGGCTATATAGTAAAACCTACAGCAAATATCATTCTTAATACTAAAACCAAGGATCATTCCCACTGAAATTAACATGACAATACCCAATAACATATAATTACACATTGTCTAGAATTCCATTGTTTAGAAGTTCTAACTAGTGCCATGACACACACACACACATCAACACACACACACGTACTAATTATAATGAATTATAACTGAACAAAAACAGAAAAATATTTTCAGATGGTAACTACATAAAAAATTCAAAAAATCTATATTCACACCATTAGAACTTACAAGAAGGTTCAGGAAGATTGCTATTACAATATCAACATGAACAAATGATTAGTGTCCTCATACTAGTGTATGAAGCCATCTGCCATGGGTGAGACGGTACTTCTACAGAATTCAAAGCAAGGAACCTCCTTTTCACTTCAGTAGATAACAGATTTTTTCATTTTAATTTCCAAGTTATTATATGGCCTCCTTTCAGGACCACCATCAGTTAATTACAATATCAAAACATAGGTTCCTTTTTAAAAGTTTAACAAAAGACGTGCTAGAAAGCTATACAACATTGCCAAGAGAAATTAAAAATGACTTAAATAAATGGTGAAATATACCATGTTCATGGGTTGGGACACTCAGTACTGTTAAATGACCATTCACCCCAGAGTGATCTCTAGATATGAAGCAAATCAAATCAACATCTCATATAAATGTTTTTCTCCCAGAATAAAGTAGCCTAAGACAGAGTGAGTATTCAAATAAATACTTAGGGGTTTTCTTTTTGTTTTTAGTAGAGCACGGTTATATGATAAATGAGATATTTCCATTATCAATCAAAAATGTATTAGCTCAAATTAATTTAGCTAATCATTTAGGGGTCTGACAGTACTGAGACACAGAGAAAGGAGTATACAACTGCAGAGGAGGGAAAACAAAAGTAAGTGACAAATTTTGCAGACTTTATTATTTAAGCAGCTTTTGCCACAATCATTACCTTGGACACCATGGAGATGGCAATGTAGAAAGTAAAGAATATCCAGAATATGAAAACTCAACAGATCAAAACTATGCCTCACCCCCAAATCCCCAGACCATTTTGTAACATAAAGCCTAGATAGGCTTTTGCCCCTCACCTTTTACACTACACTTCTCCACTCAATGAGATAGGTAATAAACCCATCTGTTAAAGACATTGTACCTTATCGAATACAAACGTCTCAACAACACTTTAATTTACTAACTAGTATTACTAACGATTTAACAGATTCTGAACTTATTATAATCCAAAAATATAAATATAATTTCAACATTCTGAAAATAGCCAATGATGCTAATTTGTACTTATCTTTCAAAAATAAATATCTACTGAGAGGAGGGCATGGAAGGGCATATCATCCAAATTATCTGAAACTTTAACTGCATCCATCCCATAGAATGAATACTCCTAGTAGAACACAAGGCAAACTTAAATTTCATTTTATCTGTCTACACTGTTTGAATTTTTTATATTTTAACATTCATTTTTGAAGCTACTTCATTTTTAAATTCAAAATAATGTGAACAAATGAATGCATAAATGTAAATATATGAAGAATGTATATATAAAACATACTTTGTTATTTATTTAAACTCACTACACCAAACGTTAATATTAAAAACAATAACTTTTATAACCAAAAGAATAAGGACAATACCACAATCATGGTCGTGGTTGTCTCTGATAAAATGACTATTTTTATTTTCTTCTTTTTATGTTATTTTCTGAACTTTAATAAATCTGTACTATGCATAAAATCCCCAAAAAAGTTAAAAGATGCTAAGTTAAAGGGAAAGATTATTTCCAAAAAAGATGAAAGAAAATATTTTTATATAGAACCAAATAATTAAAATATAATAAATTACTAGAAAGTACATAATGCTCAAATAACGTCATTATATTCACCTATTATTAAAATCAAGTTGTCTCTATATGTATCTTTTAAAGTCACCACAAGCTAAATATAGATGAAGAAAGGATACAAAAGGTATAATTGCCACTTTGACACAAAAACTTCTCATAAAAATTAAATGCAACCTATATCTTCTTCAAATTAACATTTAAAAGCTAAAATATGAAAACAAGATCTCAAAGGGATATCTGCATTCCCATTTGTATTTCAGCATTCTTCACAATAGCCAAGATATAGAAACAACCAGCAGTCAGCAAAGAACAGACAAAGAAAATGTGGTATACAGAATCCCCACCTTACTGATAGGGGATACATTCCAAGACCCCCTGCAGATGCCTGAAACTGTGGATAGTACCAAACCCTATATATACTATGTTTTTTCCATATACACACACACACACACACACACACACACACACACACACACATCTTTGATAAAGTTTAATGTATAAACTAAGCATAGTAAAATGTTAACAATAACTAATAAAATAGAACAATTATAACAATATAACAATATACTTTTATGTAAATGTGCCCACACACACACTTACTCACTCTCTCTCTCTCAAAATATCTTACTGTATTATATTCACTTTTCACTTAAAAGAAGCACTTTACAGCTTCTCTTTGGCATATTGAAATGCCAGCATCACTTCTCTTGTGTTTTGGTGCCATTACTAAGTAAAATAAGGGTTGCTTTAACAAAAGCACTGTGTTACTGCAATAGTCTATCTGATACCCTAGATGGCTACCAAGTGACTAAAAGGTGGGCAGTGTACACAGCGTGGATATGCTGAACAAAGGGATGATTCATGTCCCAGGTGGGACAGAGCAGGACGGCAAGAAATTTCCTCACACTACTCAAAATGGAGTGTAATTTAAAACTTATGAATTGTTTATTTCTGGAATTTTCCACTTAATAGTTTCAGACCATGGCTCACAATGGGTAACTGAAATTGTGTAAATAAAGCAAAACTATAGATGGAGGCAGGGACTACTATCTATAATAGATGTACATATAAAATGACATCTTATTCAGCCATGAGAAAGGAGGAAATCCTGACGTTTTCTACAATATAGATGAACTTTGAGGGCATTATGCTAAGTAAAATAAGTCAGAGGAAGAAAAATATTGTATGATACCACTCATATGTGAAATCTAAAGAAGTCAAACTCATAAAAACAGAGACTCGTATGTGATTACCAGGGGCAACAGGGTGACAGAAATGGGGTACAAACTTCCAGTTATAAGACAAATAAGTTCTGGGGATCTAATGTGTAGCATAGTGGTCATAGTTACTAATGCTGTATTATATACTTGAAAATTGCTAAGACAATACATCTTAAATGTTTCTTCACCCCAAAATAAATGGTAATTAAGTAATGGAGGTGTTAACTAATGCTATGAAGTAATCACTTTGCAATATATAATTGTATTAAATCGACATGTTGTACACTTTAAATTATATAATGGTATATGTCAATTGTATTTCAATAAACCTGGAAAAAAACTAAAATATACATGCACTCCTAATTATTCTAACACATTTTATTATGAAAATGTTAATAGGACTCTTATATTAATATCTGTTAAAATAATTATTTCAATTATCATAACATTTGCTAAATGAACATTTGCTAAGTACATTGAAAAGCTCAGAAAAGCTCTAAAAACATGGATTACTAAAAGAGAAAGTTAAATATTATTTGGGAAACATAAAATTTATTTTAATAAATATTTTTAAACTTAGGAATATGAAATGTGAAGTTAACTTTGTTGTAAGAATACAACAACCTTAAGAGTGTATAAAAATCACAAAAAGAATTAGCAAGAATTAAGAGAAAAACTATTCGAAGGAGCAAAATATAGAATGAATCAGGGAGACTTGGTAATTTCTAGATTATAAACTGACAGCACATCTGCTAATTTCAAAAGCGCCCAAAAACTGTTAAACACGTGGTAGGAGGCAGACATATCAAAAAGCACAATGTTATCAAGATAAAAAACACTTTCAAATTTAAATTTGGTATAAATTTAAATCAAACTAACAGAACTCTAAAACCAAAAGTTTAGAAGAATGAAAGGATTACATAGCTAAGAATACTAGCAAAACAAAAACTACACAATATTAGAAACATGATTATTTTGCTCTTCAAGTCATAAATTCACACTCCCCAGAGTGTAAACCTTCTCTAACAACAAAGCAATATTCTTCAAGTACTAAGGTTATTTGTATAATTTTTTTTAGACGTTTAACTTACCGAGTACCATCTGCTTTCCAGCTTACTTTATATGGATTCTGCTCCAGAAGTTTGATATTTTGCTTGTCCATGGAAACAGGCTGTGCTCCAGGGAATCCAGACCTTAAAAAACATTTTATTACTATTGAGACAAAGTAATACATATCTGAAACCAATCTCACATAAGTCACACATTTATCACAATGTTCTCCATATCAAGAGATTAATGTCAAATGGAATAATACTAGCTTTCACAAGAACACTAACTAAAGGTTATCATTTTTTTGACACTTTATATCACGAGTTAACAAGGTTCTAATTGCCACTTCTATACTATAACTATTGGGCTAAATGTTTTTTAAGGGTTTTGGTTTTTTTTTTTAATTTTTTTTTTTATGGTGACATTGGTTAACTTTTAAATATTAATAATCTAAATAGTAAAGCAGGTATGTTTACAAGTCTTTTATATCATGAAGTGTAAATCATCCTTTAGTATCTTAATTATTCTAGACCCCATATTCCTCCACTGTGAAACTGCCAACTTGTCATAACTGTGCAGAGTTTGCAAATTTCTCCTCAAAAGATGCCCAGAAGTGAAAAACCAGGAGAAACATAGATCAAGATTAAAGTACATTGGCAAGGGTTTAACATAATGCTAAAATCAATATTACTTCATCATTTTTACCTTTTAAAATTATTTCTAGCTGATTGATCTGTATTTATCAGTCAAAAAATTCTTTATATGAGGAATTTTTAACAATTAATAATCCTGTTTCATCATGTTCCAGCTATATTACAATTTTCTGCCACAGATAGCAATGATCAACAAAAATGATTACAGGCCAACACCTGAGAGCAACAGATAAGAGCAGTGAATTCTCTCCCAAATCCTTTCCCATGAAATGTCCAATAAATATTTTCAAGTCATGGTAGTGGACAGAACATATTTAAAACTGATTCTCCCAGGTTTCTCACTAAAGAAAACCTGAAAAACATGGCATATTTTCATCTCTTTTTCCTTAATACAGTGCTAAGGACAACCCAAACATTAATCAGTAACAGTTGAATCAAACACACAAAACAAATACTAGACTATAACAACAGTAACTTTCTATTCCTTTAGGAAGACAGATAAGTCGTCTAATTTTTGACTCGACTATCTAGTTTTTACACTGCCTGTACTGAGAACAACCTGATAAACTCTTATTTGACATCTTTCTACACACTCTACGTAAATGTATAAACTTCAAGAGGCAACAAAGCTACATTAATAATTGCATCAATGTTAAGTATTGTAAAGTAAGAATAAAATGTTTATTACCCTTCCCAGCCACAGAATTGATGACACTTCAGCTGTACTTCCCCTAACTTTGGTTGAGTTGTCACTTGAGTTACACCTTTAACAGTTACACCTTCCAAGAAAATAGCACCCTAAAATCAAAGGAAAATAAAGATATTTTATTAGAGTTCAAATCCATTTACGAAGACTAGACTGAGAGATAAGTTCATTCATTTTCACAAATCTTAGCAAATGTATGAAACAGAAATGGTATGCTCCAGGAGACTCTATAAACTCCCAAGACTATACACTAGTTTTCTTTAATCCAGTAAATGATTTTCAAGGTACATAAATAGCCCAGTTATATATCATGTTATCAAAGCATTCCATAGGCACTACTCAGAAATCATAACAGCCATAACTACCTACCATTTACTCAGAGCTAGGCAGAGTAGCTGGTATTTTACAAACATTTTTTCTAATTCTTATAATACCTATGAAAAGTGAATTTTATTATATTTATTTCACAAATGAGTGTATGAGGCATACAGACTGCATGTAATTTATTCAAATGGTAATAAGAGAAATGAAGTGAGGTCTACACTATATCATTTAGCAATAATTCTCATTTGGGGAGGAGTAGAAGAGTAGTATCACTTATGGAGTATAGATTTTAAGAGGATAAACACCCACAAGTATAACAGTAGACGAAGTGGTTAAGCTACAGTCATTGGATGTATTAACATAAAACTAAATATTATTCATCACTGAATTTTTAATCTAAATTTATTAATTCAGAACTAAATAATGTGTCTTACTATATTTCATAGCAAGCATATTTTTAAAATATCAGAAGTGAAGTGGGTGGAATTTTATATATCAAATAAAGAACACTCCTGGAAATTTCAAAAACTAAAAAAATAGTAGAGATTCATGCTACAATTAATTTCAAGCCCATAAGAGGATTGGCATCAGTCTCAAGAAAAAAATCCATAAAACAACTCTAGCTGTTAATGTAATTAGGAGATAAAAAATATGGTCTACTAGCTACAATGATCAATCTTCTAGCAAAGATTTGGCAACTCAAGCCACGTGGGAAGGGAAAAAAATGAACAAAATATTTAGACCACACACATCCCTGTCAAATATAGAAGAGTCCTGAGTAGAATCTAGTCGATTGCTTCAGATCCTAATTCTGAATTACATTATAGTTATCTAATATGTTGTCTACTTTGTTTTCCTTAAATAAACATAGAGATTTCAGGAGCCAAAGGATCAAAGAGTACCATTGCTGTCTACTACATCATCAACTCTCTTTATTAGCCAATGAAGTTTCTGTTTTAGAACCATTTCTACCATTAAACATAATAACAGAAGAAAGAAAAAAAGAAAAAAAGAAAGAGAGAAAGGAAGAAAAGCATTTTTAAAGGAAAGATAGATAAGATTTTTTTTACCATATTTAGTTATTGAGATACTCAATTTCAATATTCTTATAAAAGTATATATAGCTACACTAATTAAAAAGAGAAAGCAAAGAGAGTTCACTGTTCAGCATCTTTATTCTGAAGGTACTAGTTTTACATGAAGAAGGTACCTAGCTTCACTGTATTTCCTAAGAAGTTAAGAAATCAACAGTAATTTCTGAAAAGCGAAGGCCAAATTAGAATAAATTAATCCTAAAAATACAAACATTACTTCTTTTTCTAACAAATAAAAAGGACTAAAACACTGGAAATACAATCAACATTCAACCAAGTACTTTCCCACAATATTACTAAAGGAATATTTTAATAAGTCTATGCAGTTGAACAAGCTAAATATTTTTTAATTTAACATAACAAATAAATATTGAGCCTCAGTACAGATTTAACAACTATTGAGTGTTTATAAAAGATAATTCCAACCATCTAGTAAATGTCATCCATTTATTTTTCTTCTTCCTTAATATTTCCTACAATACATCAATTTCTTTTTTACTTTTTTTATATTCCCTTATTTTCTTCTGCAATAATTAAGTAAAAAGAAGGGGGAATAAGTCCAATAAAAAAAATAAGCATGATGTACTTTATTTACAATTACTATTTAGTAACTTTAGGATAACTTAATTTGCTATTTACTGTTATTACAAGTTTCTTGTGACAAAAAATATTTTATAGCATTCAAAATTATATAAGATTTCCAAGAAAGATCACTAATTCTAAATATAAACAGTAATTTCTTAAGCCCTGAACTATTTTTAAACAATATAACGGAGTTTTACAGTCACTGATATTTTCACTTTTAACAAATTATCATTTCAGTCTATGAGAATAAAGAAAAATCAAAAGTACAAAGAAGATAAAAAAGTGCATTTCATAAACAGATTATGCCAGCCTTAAAATGAACATTTGTATGGCTACCACAAACAAGACAAAAGGAATGAGTGATCATTTTGAGAGAAATCGAGGAAATTATTACAAAACGTGGGAGGCAAACTATATGTGAGAGGGGTGCGTGGGTGGGTGGGTATGTGTGTATGTGTGTAAAGAGAGTAAGCAAGTATGTATGTAATGTGTAATAAGGGTATTTTAGCAATGAAGAAAATGCACTAACAATTCTATTCGAAGAGATGATCCCAGACATCAATTCAAAAGAGCAAGCAACATACCTGTAAGTCATGCTTTCCAACTCAGTAACAGCATGTGCTCTAAAAATGAATAAAGGTGTTTAGGAATGTGAGGGCCAAGTACAGGACATGTACCTCTGTCATAAACCAAACAGAACTAACAGAATTCACTACAAGGAGTCCATTACTTCAAATCACAATTATATCAATATAAGATATAGGAAAGAGGAACTCTAACCAAAAAAAAAAATGCCTCAAACCAAAATAAGTTCACTGCATTAAGAATTATGAGCTACAAAGAATTAATCACTCTTGCATTGCCTGTTAACTATCCTCAACTTCAGATTGTAAAAAAAAAAAAAAAGGAAAAGGAAAGCTTTCCAAATGGGAACTTGCCAATTAATTACATTTACACTTCTCATCACTGTCAACCATACCTTTGACATCACCCAAAATTCAACTCTCCAGTCACCTTTCCTCTCAGATGGTCTTGTCCTCATTGCTTTGGAGTCCCTTCTCCTTGGTTCATCTTACCACTAATCACCTTCCCAGAGTTCCAATGTAAACCCTGGAATCTCTTTTTCACAAATAACCTCCCCTATAACCTCAAGCTTTTTCGTGAACACTGTGTACCCTGTGTCTTAACTAAAAGCTAGCTCTCCAACAAGGAGACCACTTCTCTCTTAAATGAAAGCTACTCATTCTCCCATTGCCCAAGTTCCATGGGTAGTATAAGCCATTCTCCTATATCTTCACTTCTTTCCTAACATCTTTCAAAAGCTCCTTGTCCATTTATACTAACTCAATTCAGCTATACCACTCAGCTGTGGTAGAGCAGATGTTCATTGAAGTTGGTGATATAACAGCTCTTTGTAAGAGCTGCCCTCCTCATCCACAAAGACAAAACCCTAATAGCCATGTTGCATGATAAAGCAACGTCCTACTCCAGCCAAAGTTGATGGGAGCATGAGTAAACGCTCTAATTCAACCTGAACCCACCAGGTTCTCTCTTGGTAACTTTGGAATTGGGTTTCAAGAGAGTGAAAGTCTGCATATGGCTAAAATGATAACACATAAGCTTAGAAGATGTAGGACAGCTACATCTCCCAGGACAATGAGAAATCAGAAAGAGCCAGTCTTGAGAGAGCAAGCCAGTGAGAAGTATGACAGAAAGGAGAGACGAAAATAAAAAGGTGAGAAACGAAAATAGAAAGGAGAAAAACGCAAAGGTGAGGAATTAAGAATAACAGAACCTGGGGTGGCTCCATAGTGTAGTGGTTAGCATGTCTGCTTTGCAAGCAAAAGGTCTTGAGTTTGTGCCCCAAGTAGAGCCACGGACCACACTCCGGGTGCGCCTGGCCCCGGGTGCATGCCGTAAGCATGTGGGAGGGGACACCCCACCTTCAGAGATCCAGTTCTTAAGGGGAAAACAGCAACATCCATGGGTCAGGGGTAGAAATGGGGTGAGGAGGGGGAATTATAGAGGGGGAAAGAAAAAAAAAAAAGCAGAAATTATTTAAAAAAAAAAAAAAAGAATAACAGAAACTAGGTTCTAGGTAGCTTTCCAGGTCCAGCCTCCAGTCCCTTCCTGAGACTGGGCTATATTCCTATGCTTGAATTCCGCCCATTTATTTTAATAAATTCCTCTTATTATTTAAGCTAGTTTGAGTTAGTTTCGGTTACTTGTAACCACAGAGTCTAATCTGATCACTCTGTCCTTTGTGTACTGACCACTGGTCATTTCTCCACATTCGTCAAAAACAGTTGGTATTTCTTACATTGCTAACATCCATAATTACATCCACTGAGAAAATTGGACCCACCAAATAACCTAGGCGTCACAGTTCAATAATTTCATTTCCAATGACCCTTGTCTTTACTTAACTTGAACAGCCTGCTCCATGGCCATACCATCATCATTCCCTACTGCTCCACTTTTTGATCCATCGATCCAACTCAAACTGAGTACCCACGACATCCTAAAACCAACATGCCTCTAACCTCTCGTTAAATAGCTTAACTCTTTTACTCTCATTATGCTCACTTTCAATTTCACCAAGATTAACAATCCCTCACTCTTCCCTTTTCACATTCTTAACAAGTCCTCGATTCTGACCATACTTTCTACTCAAACTAGATCCTATGGCTGATTACTTCAATTATTCTCTGCCTGATATCCTCAGTACTCCTCTCTCTTTTGTCCTTCCATTATTCTCATACTAAATATACCCAAATATTGTATCGACCTACCATTAGTCACTGCCACTCCCACATAAAAGCTGAAACTTAACTGAGGAAAAATTACAATCTCAGCACTAAGGATGAAATTTCCCCCTCTTACTGAAGACCTATTTCTCCACCTACTCTTGAACTCCATTCCCTTTCATCTCCTCAGAGACTGCTCTATCATTTATTCCCTAACTTTTGTTGACTTTCATTGATTTGACTCCACAAGCTCCTTATCCACAAGTAATAAATAAGCTTGAGTTTATTCCATACTAAAAAGCCTCTTCTGACCATATAGTCATCAAGCAATCACCTTTATTC